AGGAAGCCGCGACCACGTGTCACGGGAGGGAAAATGGCCGCGGATCCTGTTCGTCACCCGATGCGGAGTTCGCGAACAGAGGCAAAATTTTGCAACCGGAGCTGTTCATGAACTGAATTGTTCATGAACAGAAGCATTCGTGAACCGAGGTACCACTATATTTCCCTTTTGTTTTAATTTTTAAACTTGAACTCTGTTACCTATATCTTTAAATAATTTTCCTGTTCCTCTAGGTGGGGAACTAGGCTTGACTGAGGGCTGAAATTAACTCCCCATCTCATCTGGTGGGCCACCCAACAGGCATGTTTCCTCCTTGGGGAAGGCATGCACCAGCCTAATTGGGAAGAGTCACCCTGTGCCATCTAAGACTGGGGCTCTGGGTCATCTGGCTAGCTTCTTTCATGCTGCCTCCTTTCCCTTCAAGTGAATGGTAGGGCATGGATGAGGTAAAGCTAACTCTGCTGGTGGCTCAGGTTCAGTTTTTGTTGTCTTTATCCATGCTCTGAAAGGGATTTAAGAGCATTCTCCTTTAAAGGAGAAGGACAAAGCATGGGTGAAGTAGAGCAGTAGTGGTAAAAAGGGGAAAGTGCCCTACTCAAAGGTCCATAGGCCAGCTTGGAACAGACTAGGTTAATAGGCTAGAGATTCTTCATTCCTGTCTACAGTAGCCTTCCCTAACCTAGTATTTCTTAGATATATTAGACTGTGTCATCCCCTAGCCAGAAATGTCATTTATTCCATGTGCTAAGCAAAAGCATCCTCCTATTCCTTACTAGTAAATCTCAACTTCCTCCTCATTCATTGGAGTCTTCCTGACTCTCTCTCTCTGCCAGCCTTTTTTTTTTTCCTGGTTCAGTTTAGCAGTTTGGATTAATACAGCCCCTCCCTTTCTGCAGGCAGTTTTCCCAGAACACTGAGTTTTGGGAAACAAAATGTTCTATTGCCTTTTGAGAGAGTGCTCTTATTTGTATAGAACAGGCATCAGTGAGCAACTTTTCTGCAGTTTGGCTTGGAGATCGATATGGCAGCTCTGACACTTTCAGTTCCCCAAAGAATTTGTGTTTATATTTCCTGTAATTCCAAAGCAAGCTCTGTCCCAATCTCCAGAATCTGATTTTCATTAAAAAGTAGAGGAGTCTGTTGCATGCTACCTACTATTTAAGAGATATATTTAGATGTGGCAAAGCTGCTATAATTTTGGATGGTTCATCTGTCTGTCTGCTATTTAAATTCAGTGCAGGATGGAGCTGAATAACTACCCACTTGTTGGAGCTAGTGAGCATCAGGTTTTAACAAGTGACATACTAATCAGATACAGTGTTCAAATATAGAACCTTACAATAAGTTAATAGGATACAATTAACTTGTACAACCTTGTACAACCTTACAATAAGTTAATAGGAAAAAAATGTTTAATGTCTATTATGACTCAAGCAGTGCTTTCTGGTGGATATATATCCAGATTGGTGTTAGAGCCACTTTTCCATGCTATAGTCCCAAGGAAGATGGCATCTGTACATAGATTGGAGGCAAATGCACGGGACAGTGTCATGGGCCTTTCAATCCATTAACAATTGGCACAAAAGGAGGGTGGCAGTATTTGATGGAAAAAAACCACAAGGTTGTCTTTGCCTATGCAGTTCAGTTACTCACACACAACTAAAGCAACGTTCTTTGCATCATGGGTAGAAATTTCCACACCCGTGCATGTATATGTGCAGGATTGTGTGTGGGGCAGTAAAATCAGCCTTTCTAGTTACAATTTGTTAGTGTAATTGGAATAACACAAGTTTACTTACTCACATGTTCTGTTTTGCAGTTCATAGTCAAGTGGGTGTAAAATCACTGATTAGTGCCACCTGCTCTATCCTTTAAAATCTATACCTTATGTGTTGCTTGATGTTTCAAAAATACAGACTGCGTGGAATGAAAGTTAGTCTGGTGGAAATAGAGGATCCAATATTGTAAAATGAGACATTAAATCAAATCTTTATTACAGTCATAAACCAGCATAAAAATGGAAAAAGGTTTTCTGTGTTGGTATACTCCCTGCCCGCCCTGCCCTCAGTCTAACCCTAAAGAAGATCATTTTTAATTGACAGATGGACATTACTAATCAGGTGGGACTGCTAAAACAGGAGGACACAATCTATAATGTCAAAAAAGTTTTTTTACAGCAGTAGGGCAACCCAAACGGTTCAAGTATCTATGAAGATTTCTGTTCTACCCTAGCTCAGCTCTAGGATCCTCAAGGCTGCCAATCCAAAGCAGTAAAAAGAAGGGCATTATTACATCAAATGTCACATTTATTTGTTCAGGCTTAAAAAGGCAAAGTAAGGTCAAAGGCTTGTCAGAACCTTGGACAGATCACTGTGAAGCTTGCAAAATAAACTTTTCCAAAACAACAAACAAACAAGCAAACAAAAAACCCTGTTATTTCAGCTATGTCTTTGGACTCAACTGTTCTCCATAACTATTGTCCAGTCTCCAACCTTCCCTTTCTGAGGAAGGCTGTTGAGAAGGTGTCCAGTCTGCAGTTGATGTGAACCCTGGAGAAAGTGGATCATCTAGACCTTTTTCTGTCAGGTTTCAGGCCAGAAGTTAGTACTGAGACAGCCTTGGTCATGCTTGTAGATGACCTGTGGCATTGCTGGGATGAGGGTGGTGCATCTATCCTTGTACTACTTGATCTCTCAGTGGCTTTCAGTACCATCAATCACGGTATCCTTCTGAGCCAGCTCTGAGGGTTGGAGATAGGGGGCATTGTTTTACAGCGGTTCTCTTCCTTTTTCTGGGGCAGATTTCAGTTGGTGTTGGTTGGGTGAAAGTGATCCCAACCTAGGTCCCTCCTTTGTGGGGTGCTGGAAAGTTCTGACCTCTCTCCCCTCCTTTTCAACATCTACATGAAACAGCTGGATGAGGTCAGCTGCCAGTTTGCGCTTGATGTCATCAGTATGATGATGACACCCAGTTATATCTTCTGACCCCAGGCTAGCTGAGTGAGACTGTTCAGGTTCTGTCCCAGCGTCTGGAGGCTGTGCGGGGTGTGGATGGGGAAGAACTGTCTCTGACATAATCTTATCAAGACTGAGTGGCTGTTAGTGTTTGGGCCACCCAGATCTGGGGAAACCTTGGATGGGGTAGCACTTCCCCATTCAAGAATGGTGTGCAATCTAGAAGGTCTTCCTGGACTCACAATTCCTGCTCAATGAGCAGGTGATAGCTGTGGCCAGGAAGGCCTTTGCACAGCTTCATTTGGTGTGCCAGTTGTGCCCTCTCCTGTGCAACTGGCACACCAGATCAGGAGGCCCTTCAGTCTGTCACTCATGTCCTAGTCATCTCACAGTTTGACTAATGTAATACACTCTATGTGGTGCTGTGCTTGAAGACCACCTGAAAGCTTTAATTAATTAAGTAATCAATCAATCAATTAATTAATTTTGTATGGCTGCCCATCTTAAAACACAATTCTGAGCAGCTCACAACAGTTTCAGCTGGTCCAGAATGCAGCAGTGCAGGCAGCGATGGGCATACCTCAGCATGCCCATGTAACACTTCTGCTCCTCAAGCTGAAAGATTTCCAGTTTGCTTCCAATTGCAATTCAAGGTGTGGGTCATTAGAAAGCCTTACATGGGATAGGGCCTGGTTACTCGAGGGGCTGCCCATAGTATCTGCCAGGATTATTTGATCTGGCAGGGTTGCCATGCTCTGGGTTCCTTCAATTGTTGTTGTTGTTGTTG